TTTAAAGTGTGGGAATTTAAATTCTACGCTATTACAATGCTTCGGGGAGGGGGTATTTACATGTTCAAATGGGAAAAAAATAAAGAAAGCGATAAAGTCCTATTTTAATCTATTACATCCCATCAGCAGATACAAAAATATGAAAAATAAAAATAGAAAGGAAACATTGAACGCGCTCGAATTAGGAAGAATACGTCTAAAACCCTAAAAATTTCTAAGTAAACAAGAAAATCTTTTTGGTTGTTTTTGTTTATTTTTTATTAAGAAAAACAATTAAACTAAGTCTAAATTTAATTAAGAAAGTAAATATTAAATTAAGTTAACCTAATTCTAATATTTTTTGTGTTTTTATTAAGAAAATCTTTGAATTAAATAAACTTAAGTCTAGTTGATTTTAAATTGATAAAATGAAGTTAAAATAATTAATTAAATTAATTTACAAAATTAAAATTAATTTTAAGAAAAACCTAAGTCTATTTAATATTTTTCTGATTTTATGATTTGTTAGAAAAACTGATTAAAAGAAAAATCTAGGAAATAATTAAATAAGTAAAAAAAGAAAATAAAAATGGATTGGGCCTGGATATGCAAAAGCAGAATGGGGGTGCTGATTGAAATTTTCTAGGCCCGTATATAGAAGAGCCCAACATCCGCCTGATCCTGTGAGGACAAGTCTTGATGGCACATGGTAGATCTGCGCGTGGAAGCTCTTGGATCTAAAATAATCATGATCTGATGGTTGTTAATTGGAGGTGTATGGTACGCGTCTGGAATGTTGTGCATTGGATCTGCAACAAATTTTTTAGAAAATATAAAAACACCAAGCCTGGGGATTAAACCCAACCCTTTTAGCTTCACAAACACGCGCCTTGCCATCTGAGCCACCTGTTCATTCGTTAATCTATATAACATAATAAAATTATATATAAAACCAAGTCAGAAGTATGTTTGAAATGAAAAAACGCACGCTAATTCAAACATGCCAATAGGCAAGAGACACATGGGGCAACTGGAGTCAATATTTTCAGAGGTGCTAGAATCAAGCTCTGGTCACCTTCTCCAGCCATCCAAAATTGTAAAACCTGCAAAGAAACGAAATCCATACTCAAGCTTTAGGCTATCCCCCCCTAAATTGGGGTTTGCGTGTTTAACCATGGGGTTAATTCCTCCTGAAACGACCTGCATCTATGAAAATGAAGCTCGACTGGAGTTTTTTCCTAAAATGGAAAAACTTCATCCTCACGCCAAACCTTGCATGTAATGGATCTAAACATTCGCAAACATCAATATGAGTGTATGTATGCACATAAAAAACATTTATATTACGTATAAAGAAAGTTTGAGATCATGATACTATACCCAATTGGAGTGACTGAAGCTAATGGTTCCTGTGGGCGTTGGACTTTGCAAGGGGTGGAAATGATCCCTGGAGACTTAAAGAACACACTTAGACACTTGGATTAGATTGAAAATTACTAGGATTCAGGTTTTGGAATTTGACAACTTTGGAGATTTTTGCACTTTCGTGGCTCTTTCTAGGCTGTGTATATCATGTGTTTGGCTTGCACATGTGATGTATTTATAATGGAGATGGAGGGGACAAGGTAATAAGGCAATAATCCAAGTCATAAAGCCATGCTTTCATGCCAAAATCCAACAAATTAAAAAGCTTCCAACTTTGCAAAACTTGCTGTTTCCATGCTTGCATGCACCTGGACACCTTGGCACGAATTTGTGGGCTTTTAAGCAAGCCAAAACATCAGCCCAAATGCCTAAGCCCATCTCCATTTATTTTATACAATTTATTTTATATTTATTTGAAATAAATTAAAATAAATATGAACAAAATAGATAAAAATGGAAAGGCAATGTAAAAATGAGATTAGAGGTCCTTTGCAAGGTTAGGAAGATGTTTGAAGTCCAAGAAGTTAGGCCATTGACCTAAAAGTTTAAGTTTGCTCAATGCACAAATCTTGAAATTTCCAAAATTTCCTAACTTGGGCAAGCCATAACTTTCTCAATTTTGATCTCACGATGATGATCTTGGACTTTTTAGAAATCCCAAGATGTCTACTTCAATCTCTCTTTTTATCAACTTTGTATTTTAAGACTTTATCTTGATGTAAATGATCTTGACAAAAAGTGTCTTTTGTTGAATTTCTGAAATGACCTGTAATGTATGAGCTTTACGAAGATGTTTGAAGTCCAAGAAGTTAGGCCATTGACCTAAAAGTTTAAGTTTGCTCAATGCACAAATCTTGAAATTTCCAAAATTTCCTAACTTGGGCAAGCCATAACTTTCTCAATTTTGATCTCATGATGATGATCTTGGACTTTTTGGAAATCCCAAGATGTCTACTTCAATCTCTCTTTTTATCAACTTTGCATTTTAAGACTTTATCTTGATGTAAATGATCTTGACAAAAAGTGTCTTTTGTTGAATTTCTGAAATGACCTGTAATGTATGAGCTTGTATCTTTCAAATGGTGCATCTCTTGATCTTGAAGACAAAAGAGAAGTTGTAGGGAATTAGATTCTCTTTAAAATAAGCTTTGGTTGGTGAAAAATGGATGAAGTATGTGAAAGTTATGCATGGTCAAAGTTCAGTTGACTTTTCCTATAGAAACCTTAATTTAGCAATTCTTGACCTTTGATAGATTAGGAGCATTTCTTGAGGAATCATGATCAACACTTGATCAAATGATGGATATCACTTCAAAATGTTGATGTTGACCAAAAATCTTAAAGTTTGACTGTACATGGGCCACAGTTGACTTTTGACCTAGTACAGTTGATTTTCCAACATTTGAGTCATTGATTGAGCAAACTTGTAGTGCAAGGCATGAAATTTGTCATGGATAATCTTGAAGGAATTTTAGGACAATGGAAAATATTAGAGACCTTTGGAGCTCACACATCTTAATGAAAAGTGAAACCCTAGTTAGAGGTTCATTACTTAGGAGGAGAATTTGTCTGATCAATTCTTGGTCAACCTTGAGCAATTGAGGACCTCTAGGAGCATGCCTTGAGTAAAATTGGGAGGGAAAATTGTGGGGTACAACACTGGTGTTTTGATTCACTTAAGATATTAAACTTAAAAAATCTCAAGGACAATTTGTGCATAAAAGTACCCATAAAAGTGTTTGTGATTGAGATTTAATTGTTTGAATAATGCTAAACTGGACATAAACTCTAATTACAACAAGCTTTGGATAAAGATAATAGATAAAAAATATAATAAATGATATTAAGGTAAGATGTTTTAATTAAAGAGACTTAAAAAAAGTAAAAGATAAGGGCACAGACTCATACATTATCTCACAAATTGTTTCTTTATGTGACTTAGATACTTTAGTTTTATAGAGAATACTTGATAAATTTTGCAACCCTCGATCACAACAATGAGATCGACTTATATACTAATACAATATTAACCGTCAATAACTGTTATCTCTATAAAATTTGACACATATCCACTTGCATGGGCTCCAATCTTTTAATTTGCTTTCACGCGTCCTTAATATTTAAACTGCTGCAAACCAACTATCACTATGATAACTACATATGAACCCCTTATCTTCCTCTGTCGAGAGTCTCTGATTGACTTTTATAGTGTTATCGAGACATTATTGGTTTGGGTGACTCTTTAAATAAAAGATACACTAAGTTCCAAACGTCTGATGGACGTGATGAATGTGTCAAACTCGACACCTTGTCGAAGGACTGATTTGTGTAACCCTTTTCGAGATTCTTGACATGTTTTAAAGAGAGAGTGATCCTAATCTTGTGGATATGTTCTTGAGACTCTTTCAAATCAAGCCTAACACGTTGGCCGAACCATCTTGATCAGCGTGACTAGTGTGTTAAAGACTGAGTTTCTTCATACTTGTTATTTTTCAAACGTGGTTATCATCATTCTTTGATAAACCCTTCAACTAAAATTTTCAAACTAACAAGTTGACTTACCTATACTAGCGGGGAGTATTGGAGATGTAGAGAAAAAATAAATCTTTAAAAAAAGTCAATGCTTCTTCCCTGAGTATAGTGTCATCATTGCGTCAAACACCATTAGAAAGATGAAGGTCATGAACTTTATTTCTCTCCCGTCTGATTAATGTCTTAATATGGAAAATTTTGGTGTTACGGTCTTCCAATTTAATCCAATCATCTTTAGCCTTTTGATACCAATGAATCTCCTCTTGCACAAGGATCTCATCATACTCTTGTTGAAGATAAATTAGTTTTGTTGAATCTATTCTCTACAAAGAGCGTTGGATACCCCTGAATCTCTTTTCAATGATGTGCTTTCGTTTGCTGGTATTGCCAAAAATTTCCTTATTAAAAAAGAAAGAATTGTGTTGCACATTTTAGAGACAAATTACAATATCATATGAGGATTCCCTTAAACAATTTAAACTATATTAGAGTATTCTGGATGAGTGATCTAAATTGTCTCAAGTCTAAAAAGACGTGGTCCGTAGTATTCGATGTTGATCGAAGACATCTACTATTATTATTATTATTAGAATCATGCTTTCTTGTATTGAGGATTCACATAAAATAAATCATTCTGTGTTAAATGAAAATCAAGACAAATGATAAATTATATATTTCTAGACTTATTCTTTTACACCAAAACAAGACAAATTACATATTTTTCTTTAATGAGTCAATGAAAATCATTGTTTCTCCATCCAAAATCAAAGTGTAACGTCACGTGTACTTTGTTATACTCCAACAACTTGTGAGAATCCAAAGTCAGAATCCAAAGCACAAAACTTCACCCGCTTCTCACCCTTCAAATTTCAAACCTTTCAACGGTCAAATTTTCTGAGTTAGGAAACTTTTCACAATCTTCATTTTTCGTAACGCCATCACACCAAAACATTCCCCTTTTTCCCCATCATTATAACCTTCCTAAAAAGCAAACATTGTTATTATTATTGTTATTAATTTCAGTTTTTCAAAACTTCAAACGGTTTGTGTGCATTATTTTATCCATGGAAGATAAAGGATCGAATCACTATGATCATGACCCTCTTCTTCTCACTGACGCTTCTTTTCAACAACAACAACCAGAAGGAACCGTTTCCAATAGTAAGAATCCATTTCATTCTCTTTTTGGGTCAAATCAAAATTGAATTTTTACTTCAGATTTCTTAATTTCATGACTGAAATCGTGTACCCTTTTGAATTGATTAGGGGTTTTACAAACATCATTTAGCTCTCTGAATTCAGCTATGGCGACAGATCCTCAATCCTCTGGTGAGAACCCTAGTTATGGTTAGGAATAGGATAATCAAATTTATAAAATTGAATAATTTCTTGTTTTTGATGTGTTATTCGTGTAGGATTGTCGCGGGAAAATGAAAGTTCTGTAAGGATCAGTGTGCAATTCGATGATCCAATTGTGAAAAGTTTGGTTGACGACGTTTCTGAACGGTCGATATTAGGGTTTTCTACTACTTCACCGGATTTGGTGATCTGTTCTGGCTCACCGGATATTGCTGGAATCAGTTATTGTGACTCTCCTGTGATGTTGAAGAACAAAAATTGCTGCAATTTGGATTTGTCTATGGAGCTTTCTTTTGAGAATGGAATCAATGAGTCTGAAGTTGAAGTTGTTTCTAAAGTTCGTAAGACTCCAACGGTTAAGTTTTCGAATGTGTGTCAAACTTTTGAACCAGAAGAGGAATTACTATCACCTGAAGCCTCCTTTGAGCTTCATCAAACTCCGGTAACTAAAGTCGAGTCACTGCAAGACTACTCTCCAGGTAAGTTCAATTACTGGTATCAATAACTGTAAACAATGTTTTTGAAAATTTGAACTATTAGCTCTACATAATCTGATGTTGTTGGTTATAGTCCACATTTCATTTTTTACAACAAAAATTTGCAATGAATTCAGGAGATAATGAAATGTTGGAAGATGATGGAGTGTCTCAGGAAGCAGAATTGGAGTTCTCACAAGTATGTTTCTCTGTATTATTAGATAGTGATAGTTTTCTTACTTTGATCAGGAAAATGTGAATGATCTGAGATGATAATGTTGTAGGATTTTGATGATATTGGAGTAGAAGAGAAGTTTCTGAAGCTGAAAAGAGATTTTGAGTGTCAGACGAAAGAGCTGGCAGTAACAAAGAGGGAGTTGGGGGAGCTCAAGACGGAGAATCATAAAAAACGTAGTGAATGTCAAGAAGCTTTGAACTCCTTAAAGGAGCTTCAGAACGAGCTAATGCGCAAGTCAATGCACGTGGGATCTTTAGGTAAGCATTCTCCTTTCTCAACTTAATATATAACTAATATACTTGAGTTTAATTTTCAAAGTTTACACTATTAGTAATCATAAAAAACCGTACATGTGACTTTTTTCTTGGTCTTGCAGCATTTGCTATTGAGGGGCAAGTGAAAGAGAAAAGTAAGTGGTTTACAACACTGAGAGACATGACGAGGAGATTGAAGGTACTAGTATCCTAACACAGTTGAATCGATGATAAACAAATTTTAAAAGAGAAAGTAATTTTTATAATGATTTTGTCAATTTCATTGTATATAGATTATGAAAATGGAACACATTAAGCTATTAGAGGAAGCAGAGACATACAAGAAATATGAAGCAGATATAAGCGAATTGGGACTCATTATCAAGTCTAAAAGTAATTACACATTTTGGCATTATGAATCTCAATGTTATTTTTGTTTAGTTTTTCCTTTTGCGTTTGTACTAATTATTATTTTTTTAATATTTCTCTTTTGGAAGTGAATGAACAACTAGAGTTAAATGAAGATCTCAAGTCCAAATATATAGAAGGGACTAAGATTCAAAAAGAGCTTTACAATAAAGTATTAGAGTTGAGAGGAAACATAAGGGTCTTTTGCCGGTGTAGGCCGCTCAATGCCGAAGAGATAAAAGGAGGAGCCACAGTGGCCTTAGATTTTGATTCTTCTAAAGATGGCGAGCTTACTGTTATGTCAAATGCATCTTCAAGAAAGACTTTTAAATTTGATGCCGTCTTTGGTCCTCAAGTTGAACAAGGTAATTAGTGAAGCATTAACTCCATATATATACTTTTTCGTTTGTATTTTGTGCTGAATTGATGATAAGTTCCCATTTTGACATATTTGAATTGTATTGCTTTATAGCTGATATCTTTGAGGACACTATACCATTTGCAACCTCAGTTTTAGATGGATACAATGTATGCATTTTTGCATACGGACAGACTGGTACAGGAAAAACCTTCACAATGGAGGGAACAGAAGAGGCTCGTGGAGTTAATTTCAGGACTCTAGAGAAAATGTTTGATATAATCAAGGAAAGACAAACCCTCTATAGTTATGATATCTCCGTAAGTGTCTTGGAAGTGTACAATGAGCAAATAAGAGATTTGCTGGTTTCAGGTAATCATCCAGGAACGTCTGCAAGAAGGTAAACTAACAAACCATTTGGTTATTTTTGCAGAGGTGGAAGTTTTTAAGAGATTAAATCCCATTTTTAAACGAAAGCCATACTTTAGCTTGGTTTGTTCTTGTAGTTTTTCATAAATAACTAAATGTGGTTAATTGTAGATTGGAGATAAGGCAAGCTGGTGAAGGAATGCATATTCCAGGTTTGGTTGAGGCACATGTGAACAACATGACTGAAGTGTGGGAAGTCCTACAAACTGGTAGCAATGCAAGGGCTGTAAGCTCAACCAATGCGAACGAGCATAGTAGTCGATCTCACTGCATTCACTGTGTCATGGTTAAGGGGGAAAATTTGGTGAATGGAGAACACACTAGAAGCAAGTTGTGGCTTGTGGACTTAGCTGGCAGTGAAAGAGTTGCAAAGACAGAAGTACAAGGGGATAGATTGAAGGAGACACAAAATATTAATAGGTCTCTTTCTGCACTTGGTGATGTCATTTCAGCTCTCGCAACTAAAAGTTCACACATCCCTTTCAGGTTATCATCATCCTTTTTTTTTCAATCATAAATTTTTAAATTTGAAACAGCCTATGAACATTATAACTTATGATTAGCACTCGTGAGACTGTTTGGGAGAGCTTTGCAGAAACAACTTAAGTTGTTTTCTGCATATTTTCATAAGTTATTTTAGGATAATTTATAGCTTATTTGATAAGCAATTGTCCTATAAGCGCTTAATTACGTAATTTATCAAAACGGGTCTTGGTCTATTGTCAGTATTGAAGATCTATTGTTCTTCACTATACAGGAACTCGAAGCTTACACACTTGCTGCAAGACTCATTAGGTACTTATTTAGAAGATTCAATTGTTCATTAGGTACAATTTCGTACGAATGTGATTATTGAACTTGATGAACAATCTTGTTTCTGTAGGAGGAGATTCAAAGGCACTCATGTTTGTACAAATCAGTCCTAATGAAAACGATTTGAGTGAAACAATTTGCTCTTTGAACTTTGCTAGTAGAGTAAGAGGAATAGAGTTGGGCCCTGCAAAAAAACAGTGGGACACCAGTGAACTTCTGAAACACAAACAGATGGTATGATTGTTGTAATTTTTTGTTTCATTTTACTACTTAACTGTGATATATATATAGTTTGTTTCATTGTCAACTTGTTCATCATTTTCAATTCGTTTCATTGTCGCTTTGTTCATCATTTGCAATTTGTTTCATTGCTTACTTGTTATTTAGGCTGACAAAACTAAACAAGAGCTAAAACTTAAGGATTTTCAAATCAAGAAGATGGAGGATACAATCCATGGATTAGAGTTCAAAATGAAGGAAAGGGATCATAAAAACAAAAGTCTTCAAGACAAGGTAACATATTAAAGCCTTATTAGGATATACAATTTGATGAAACGCTTATAGCACAAGTGCTCTTTTAAGTATAAACTATTTTTATAAAAGTTACAAGTTGTTTTCATAAGCTATTTTGAGTAAGTTATGGAAGTAAGCTGTAAATAGCTTATGGACACGCCATAAGCTATTTCATCCATAAGCTCTCTCAAACAATATCAAACAATCCAAACAGAGCACGCGTTTGTTTTTTTTTCTCTTTTGAACATTATGACTTATGATATAGATTAGGGTATCTTATACACATTACAAAATTTTGAAGGTGAAAGAACTGGAATCACAGCTTATGATTGAGAGAAAGCTAGCGCGTCAACATGTTGACTCAAAGATAGCTGAGCAGCATCAAATGAATCAAGAGCAAAACAATTCAATTTTGAGGGCAACACCACTCGCGAATCGACCATTAGCAACTCTCAAGAATTGTAACGATCCAACAAGTGGCGGAAATTCAGCTAGACCCTTAATGGAGAACATCATCTCAAAACCTTACAATATACCCTTTTCTACAATAGAAAGCTCCATCAAGTACATTGATCAAAACGAGAAAGAAAACAATCCTGACATGGCCGATAACAAATCGCTACTTCCAAAAAGGACAGCAAGAGCTTCTTTATGCACAATGACACCGCGTGGCGTTCCTTCTGCAACTACTTCAAGGAGGAACTCTCTGATTCCTCTCCCAAGTTTAACACATTTTCAAACACCATTCATTCCAATGTTAACAAACCAAGAAGTCATCGAGGAATCAGAAACAATGCAACCATTACAAGGTCATTGTGAGAGTCCTAAAGAAGTGAAAAGCGGTGTTAAGAAGATCGGTAACATATTAAGAAGAAGCACACATAGAAAAGGTCAGGTGAAGTCTCCACTACAACATATGAGAAAAGTTGGTGGTGTAAATGTAGGAATGGAGAAATTGAGAGTTTCTATTGGAAGCAGAGGGAAATTGGCACAAAGAGGGGTGCAAGCTGGAAATGCTAGAAGAGGTGGAGGTGCTAAAGAACAGAAGAATAGTCATAAGGACAAGGAAAGAGGATGGATATAGAAGATGAGGTGATCTAGTTTTTTAAATAATTTTTTTAATCTTTAAAAGGATTTCTTGTGTGGATAGATTAATTGATTTGTTGAGTGTTTTTAAGGTATGGAAAATGTATCTCATTTTTCATGTGAAATGGGACATAACTGATTTTTTTTTTTGAAACTTCATGGGAGAATGGAGCTAGTCTCTTTTGTAAATTCTGCATGTGGGATGTGTAATTTTTCTTTGACTTCAAACAGTGAAGCCACGTCTCTAGAGTTGACAGTTGGATTTTCATTTGAATTCAAGTCCATCTCAAATCTCGATCCAAGTTTCACTATGAATTAGTTATCTCATATAACTCTCCCTAGTGCGACAGAGATAAAAATGCCAATCCTGAGTCATCAATGTCTAATAACAGTTATCTCATTCTTGTAGTGATGAGTGGAGACAGTTGCATGCTCAATAATAGGAATAGTATGCATATAATACGTTTCGCAAACAATGTTTCTCAACCCTACCTCTCAACAAATTTGAATCACATAAAGAAAAATCATGATGTCCGCATGATGGATATTCGAGTACCCAATAGTAACATTGTGAGTCGTATATTTGATCTTTGACAAAAAGGCCACAAGAGTTGCGTCTCTCTCTACTTTTGCCCTAGTATTTTGAGAGTGGATTTTTACTAGAAGAGATTTTGGTTTTGAGATAGGGAGTTATTGTAATATCTCTCGTGAGAATGTTGTTTTTATTCTGATCTAAACCATTTGAAAAACTCTTGTTTGGTTATTGTAATATCTCTCTCGTGAGAATGTTGTTTTTGTTCTGATCTAAACCATTTGAAAAACTCTTGTTTGGTTATTGTAATATCTCTCTTGTAAGAATGTTGTTTTTGTTCTAATCTAAATCATTTGAAAAACTCTTGTTTGGTTGTTGAGGTGAAAATTTGGTAAAACTTCAGTTTGGTTTTCGAAATCAGCCTGTTAAAATCTCGCGTTAAGTTTGTGACCTAAGCCTGGTGTTAAAAGCTCATTTGGTCCAAGATTGTCTTGATATTAAAATCGTTTGTCTGGTTGGGAGATCTCCATAGTTTTAAAACTCTTGTTTGGTTTGGAGGATAGTTAAAGTAAAACTCTAATCTTTTTGTAAGGAGGTTCGTGGTCAAATGGTTGAAAAAATTGAGTCATAGTGAAAATTCTCAAAAAGAAATTCTTAGAAAGATGAGTAGGTAAGTGGTTAGTAATTTATTTACTTTCGCTGCATTTCCTTCTTTCCACTATGTTTTCCTTGTTGTGATGCCTATTCCTTATTTGGTTCACAAACTTGTTTTAAACTATGATTTTATTGGAATTTTTTTTATTTGGACATCTTTTTCCAAACCAACGCAGTTCATTTCTTCTTATGTTTAGAATGACTTGTCTAACACTTTCAAGAGCTACTAATAAAAGACTTATGCGTTTGTACTGGTAGTGAAAAGTCAATATAAATATTTAATAAATATTATATAAAAATATATACGAATTAATAGAAGAGAAAAAAATTCAATAATAATTGTCATAAATATTAATTTAATTTATCAAGTTGTAGTAGTAGTTATCAGAATATACATAGATTTAATAATTGTTATTAAACCAAATATATGGTAAAAAACAGATTTGACCTGTCAGACATACCTATAATTTTTATAATTGCTTATAATTTTAATTTTACAATTTCTATTAACAAATATTATAAAATAAAATATATTATACACAAAAAAAAAACATATTGGTTTAATAACAAATTAAAATTGATAATAATTTGATGAAGTGAATAATATTATGTTTGTTAAATTTTTGTAGTAATTAAGAAGTTATATGCTATAGTAATTTTAAAGTAACTAAATATATGATCTCAAATATCTGTTCAATTTAAGTAAATATTTTATCGGTCTATCGGAAAAATAGGTTCAGCTCGTCGGACATACTTATAATTTTTAAATTATTCTGTATTGTAAATTTATGGATATTGTTGATATTATATGATTTTATCATCTAATTGAAAATAAATTTAAACACAGTTAAGTTTCACAATTTAAACATGTGATTTTGCGATTCTCTTAAATAATAAATTTAATTTTTTAATATTTTTGTAAAAAAATAAGTAAAAGATCAATTATTTATAGTCTTTCACTTTTGTATGTATCATATGCAACTTTCATATTTCAGTCTTTAACTTCATAAGTTATTGACACGTTTTAAATATAATTTTTTCTTTTAGAAATATATAAATTCGTTTATATTATTTTAAGATGATAAAAAACACATTAATGAATTTTGTTTTATTTTTAACTCCTAAAAATTATTTTGAAAATATATATAAATAATAATAATAATAATAATAATAATAATAATAATAATAATAATAATAATAATAATAATAATAATAATAATAAAAAATATTATTTTATTTTATAATAATAGTCATTGATTTTACAATCAATTTAAAAGTTATAATTTTTTTTTATATTAAATACATAAAATCTATCCCTATTTATTTGAATATTAAAATGTTATGGAGTTCACATTAGCAAATGAAAAGACTATAGTCAAATATATCTATGCAGATCCGTTGGTAAATGAAAATGTTATTTAAAATTTAATGAGATTCCTTCATAAGAGACACATATTGTCCCGTATTTTTTTATCAAAAATAAATATTTACAATATTTTTTTAATATAACTGATATTATTTTTTATAAAAATAATATTAACGTTCATAGTTGTATATAAAAAAAATATACATTTTTTATTTTCTTATTCAAGGATATAATTGTTCAAAAATTGTGTTGAGACAAATCTCTCAAAATTATAAGAATTTTGTTAAATATAATATACAATACATTTTTATATGATTATTATTTACTACGTTTCTATCATGAAAAATAAATTAATGTATGATTTGATTTCATTCAAATCAAACAAAAATTAAAAAAATAAAAACAAACTCATTAAATTTCATTCTGCACATCTTCCTGTCTCCGTCATTTTCTACTGTTTGTTTCGGCGGTTGTCTGATATAAAACTTGACGCACTAAAAAATAAATCAAATAATCTTTTTTAGAAAACAAAATACATCATTAAATCAAAATAGTCACATTAAACAAGTTTTTAATTTAATACATTTACAATAAAGCATATTTATTTTGGAATAAAGTATTCAAAATCAAAAAATAATTAGATTTATATAAGCCTTATTCAAGGAATATTCTAAATCATTTGTTCAATAAATCATTTGCAGCAAGTCAACAACATTTTCGAAATTTTAACACTAACAAAAAATCAGTAACAAAAATTTAAAGATTTTAATAGAATAAATTATTAATAAAATATAATGATGGTAATTAAATTAAAAAAATAAACCAAAACTAAAATTTACTGGAATATTTGTTCTTAAAAATAAAGTAAATATCCTAAAAAAAAAAAAAAAATCACACACACAAATGTCAAACCACACACAAAAATATATCGAAAAAATCTACATAAATAATAAGAAATAGCAAAATTAAAATAGAAAAAGAATTAAATAAACAAAATACATCTTCACTTTCTAGATCTGAAATATATATATATATATATATATATATATATATATATATATATATATATATATATATATATATATATATATATATATATATATATATATATATATATATATATATATATATATATATATATATATATATATATATATATATATATATATATATATATATCAAAAAAGTGTTAGAAAACAAATAAACAACACAGATCTGAAAAATATACATGGTTAGATATGAAAAAAAGTGTTAGAAAACAAAAAATAGATTCAAATATGAAAAATATACATAGTAAGATACTAAAAAGTGTTATAAAACAAATAAAATATACCAATCTAAAACATATACATAGTTAGATAAAAAATATTAGAAAACAAATAAAACATACAAACTCGGAAAATCATAACCTAAATAAAATTAAAGTCAACATAGAAGAACAAAAAAGAAATGAAAAACCTAACTTTTTAATTGATGAGTTGATGATTTGTCTTGTAAATTCCGGATCAAAATTTCTTTGGTGGTAAGAGTGTTAAACAAACTGAACCCGCCCAACATCACGTTTTTGGAGGAAAATAATAAAGGGAAGAAATACCAATAACAATTGCATTTATTGGGAAAAAAACCAATTAGAAATGATGGTGAATAATGCAATCGAAATGGAAGGGTTTTTTCATGTAAGATTTATGTTTCCAAAGCTATCAAATCAAACAAAGTTGGACTAATGGAAGGGTTTATTCACAAAGGTAGAAATGATTGTGATGCAGAAAATATAATAAATATATTATTTTAATTATTTTAAATTAAAGAAATGATTAGGGATTGTAATTACTTATATGTTCTTAAAAATCATATTAAAATTGATTTTAGTTGGTTAATGACGTAATTATGGTGATAATTACTGATCAGACTTGGACTGTCACGACTGACTCCGAGCAGAGGTTGAGTGAGATGAGGGGTACCTGCAAGGCACTCCGATGCTAAAATGAGTGACGGAATGAGCAGGCAAAAAGTGTATGTATGCGTAAGAGATGAATACCCGACCCTCTAGAAACAAAGGGTATTTATAGCCCCCAGCGCGGGGCCAAGGTTCCCTCATTGAGCCGACCAGAATTGGCCCAATAAGGGAACTGCCAGATTCTACGTGTGTAGTGGGGACCCGCACGTGACCCCCTTCCTGGTGATGCTCTGCGAGAAATATGGAGGGACGAAGACGCGGTCTTTCCGGTAGTTCAGATAATTTGGTAACGGTCTGAATCTGCCCTACGAGGAGGGTGCTCGAGCTAGACTCGAGCTGGAGTTCCCGTGGTTGGGGACAGTAGGTGTCGCGGGCAACGGCGGGCACAACTGCAGTCTGTAGTCGGGCGTGCCGGCGGGAATCCGCGGGCGCGCTCTCCTCGAGGAGCTGCTTGGATTGGGCCTTTGTCCTTGCGTTTGGGCCAGGGCG